AAATGACTGAACCCATTAGATCAAACCTTTGTCACTGTTCCTAATGCACTCTTAGGCCTCATTAATCTGAGGGAGCAGCAACACAGCCGCCGGTGCCTCATTGCCTCCCTCACAACAGGACCATGTGAAGCCTCTCATCTCTCCCCCAAGTGCACCACGTTAATCAAGCTCTGCTTATTACCCCAGTCCCTGTCATGACGGAGAGCGCTCTCTCTTAAATGCTCTCATTATGGCCCATCTTTAGAGCTGGCTGAGTGGAAAAAAAGAGAACAAGAACAGAAGAGGAAAACGCAAGTCCGATCGCATTAATATTCATGACAATAATTAGTATTCTAGGTCACTGAATATTCATGCTATTAGTTTGGATTTTATGGGTTTGCTGGATGTCCTGATTGCTGGAGTGTGGAGGAAAACAGCATGGTGGGAACGTTAGATGTCAATGGCGGTTCAATACTGAAAAAAGGTTTGTGAGCACCCCTCCCCCTTTTTGGAGGAGGGTAAACCAGCATTTTAAACTCTCCTGATGGCTTTAGTATTTGAAAAATCACTAGAGGAATGGAGGAACGAAAATGCTGGATTTTCCTGAAAAGGTTTTAACAACCAAAATGGTTGCTATTACAAAATATAACTATGAGAGCCCAATGTAAAAACTTTAGAAGAATAAGACAAATTACTAATCTTGGATACAGGGCAAATCCAGAAATGAGATACACAAACCAAACTATAATGGAAAGGGCTGATCCAAGACACTATTGCTGGCACCACTGCTGGGTTACCTCAATGTTCAGGGTACTTATGCTTGCCTTGTTGGAAATTATTCACTTCCTGTGATTTATCAGAAAGGCAAAAAGATTGTAAACGTAAATAGTATGTACTAATGTGCTCTAAATCTTAAGCATACTTAAGTTATCATTATACAGATATCTTAAAGCCTCATAATGTATTATTTTATAAGCTCAGGAATTTTTGTGGACTTCCTGCCCTACAGCATTGTTGTGACCTGCATATGCTCCACCCTGAACTCCCAGAAGAAAAGAAGGATAACATGTAATTTAAAAAGCAGCAATAAAAAGCAGTGAGGTTAGTAGCAGGGGCATTCACAGCAAGCAAAGATTTCATCATAATGATGGAATGTGCATTGTGCCCTGTCCCTTACATTCTTGCCTGCAACACAAAACAGAAATATAAAAGGGGCAGAGTTTGCAACACTGCAAGTTTTGGCATTTGCGCCTCCCACCCCCTCCAGAAACCACAACTTAGTACAAAATCAAACTCAACTACTATTGGATGTATGGAAGCAAGGCCAAATCCAGGTAACCCCAAAATGTAAATCTAGTCTTTAAAATCCAATTTTATACTAAAATAGCTGCTCCCTGACACTAAATCAGCAATTATAATCACCCACTTTATCTTTTTTGGGATTAAATTTAAATTTGTTAGCTCACTGGTGATGTATTATGGGCCTCAAGCACTTATTCAGAACTGCTAAAGATTTCCTTGTCTTAGATGGAAATACAAGTTGAGTATAACAGCACTGTGAGACACCAGCAATTTTTTATGCAGTTTCTTGTAGATCTTAAATAGTATTCAGTATGTGGATTTGGGTCCTGGCAGTTAATGGAATCTGGCCAGACTATCACTGTAGTACTGGATAGTAAATATACAAGATCTTGAAATAGCCATATAATCTCTATTTTCCAAATAGAGCTTGGTATCTTTTCAGCTATCTTTTCAGCTCTTATAGAATCATTATGCAGGAGCATGCATGAAAGGCACTTATATTGGTAATACATTTTTGTCATACTTCCAACGGTGATTTGAAAGATTAGTGGATTTTACCCTAACATAAATAAAGTCCTTTCTTTTTTTCCCAAACCCTCCTGAATGATCAGTTCAGTCTGGGTCTATATTTCAATAGCTTTTACGTGAGGCCAAAATCTGACACTATACTTAAAAATTGAAATCAGCAGGCAAGAAGGATGGAAATAAAGTCCTTTGAATCCACGTTCAAATGTTCTCCATGTAGTGTGGTTTCAACTTTGTTTCTTCTACTGGGTATAATTACTTGAAAAAGTTTCAGGAAAGGTTACTTGAGCATTTGGCTGTGTTCATCTCCTATATGAAAAGCCTTGCTGGATCCAGCCAAGTCCAATCTTAAATCAACTTTTTGTTTCTCAAAGTGGTCAACCAGATGTCTCAGGGGCACTTGCAACAAGAGATGGACATATATCATTTTCTTATTCTCCTGCAACTTACATTGAGAGGTATGCTGCTCCCAACCTGGAGGTAACATTTCGTTTCCAGAATTTATAGCCCTTGACAGACCTGTTCTCCATGAATTTAACCAATCCCCTTTTAAAGCCAGAATGCCTATAAACTACAGGCTGCATTCTGAAGAATATAAATAGTTTACATTTAAATAAAAAGAAAGTCATTACACTGCAGAGTACCTGTATCTAGAATCATCTTTATTTCCAAGAATGCTCTTAGATTCAACATAGGCCCCATAGACATTCTGAGTAAATAAAAATGATAAGTGGGGGAAATGTGCCCACTGACTATATTTGCTTTCTTCTTCTGTCTTCCGTTTTTCTTCTTTACTGCAAGTATTTGCAATTACACTTCTAGAATCTGCTTCGTAGAAAGACCCTCCCATTTTAAGCCCCCTTTTCCAAATAGCATAGAATCTTACTTATCATTGTTCTGAGTGCGTCAGCCTTTTTTAGTTCAAGATACATGTTTTACTGTACTCAGCTGTAGTATTATATGGCCACTTTCCTGCAATGTTCCTGCTACTTTCACTTCCTCATCTATATTTTCTTTGCTAGAGAATATCAAGTCAAGGATATCTTTTCTCCACTATTAGAAGGAGAAGGTTGTCAGCAACACTAGCCCAGAATTTCTGGAAGGATTGTGTTTGGCAGAATTTGTCTCCCACAAGAGGTCAGGGTATTTAAATCCACTATGACTTCATGCTTTGGAAGGCATAATCCATATCACCTTGGTTTGAGAAGTAATGATAAAGCAGCATTGCTTTATTTGTTCCTCACATCTTTTAACAGAAATGTCCTCTATAACACTAATAACACCATTCATTTTGATTTCTGAGCAGGAGTTCATATTTAAACTACATTCTCCCTTTCTATTGCTTTCATTCCTTTTCACCTAATTGCATCTTTCAACTGCTGTATTTCAGTCATGAAAGTCATCCCATCAGGTCCTTGTTATACTTATTTAAACAATATTTGCATTTTGTGCTAAGAGTCTAAATTGTTCACCCCCTGAACATGAGAGTATAGACAAGGCAAACAATATACTTCACAAGTTATTATTCTTCCTGAAAGGTTCATTAGCTCTACTGTAACAACTCCGTAACATTCTCCTAAAGTTCTGAGTTTTCACTTCAACGCCAGTAGATTTAATTTAATGCTCTCCTGGTCAAGCATGGCATGCTTTAGCCAAACATTGGCTTCCCAGTTCTTGTGAGATGTTGTATATCTTGCACCAGCCATCTTTCCTCCAGAAAGTCTTAGGACCAAGACCCCAGAAACCAAATCCATCACACTGATACTATTTCTATAGGCAGTTGTTCATCTGCAGTATTCTTCTTTCCCTCTGCAATCTTCTTTGATGAAAATAAATAGAGAATGCCACCTGAGCTTCTTTCTTAGAACTTCCAAGTTCAAGGTGATTCTTGCAGATTTGCAATCTTGAAGTTACACACAAGTAGTAATGCCATCTCTATGGCATTACTTAATCCCTCACATACTCACTCTTCCAACATTTGGGAGGCAACTATTATTATATGTTTTAACCATCTACTGAAAACCTATCTTCTCACAGGCCTTGCCTTTGTTAATGCTATGGATGAATGCTTTTCTTTTCTTCCTCCTCACAGTTTCTTTAGTGTACTTATTTTATATAAATTGTTTTTAATTCATTGTTACTTTATATGTTGCATTTTACCAAATCTATAGGTATATTACTGCACTGATTTGTCCATTGCTGCACTAATTCATGTTTACACAGAAAGCATTAGTTAGTTGTTTATGTAATAAATAAAATAGTTGTTTATGTAATAGATAACTTATCTATCTATCCAAAGCATCTGAGAAAAGTATTCTACAAATAACAGATTAATCCTCACTTCAAAAACAAAATAGCAGAACAAAAATTGGGCCTTCCTGGGTAGAAGTAAAGTGCCTTAAAACATATGGGAAAGGTCAGTGAAACGCCAAAGTTTACATCACTTCCATTTGGAAGGACAATCATAAATTGGTATTTTAGCCAGTAGCCATTCTGACCCTCATATTATATTATAAGATGATAATGATAAAAGAAAACCTTAGCATATTTGCACAATGTACACATATCCTTAACTTAAGTTCCAGTTCCCACTGAGAGAGCAAAACCTATGCCTGGGCTATACCATTCATACTTGAAGCTGACATTCACATCTTTAGTCCCTTCTTTCACATTGCATTGTATTCATCATATAAGCTCCTTCTTACCATTATTTATTTGTTTTTTTTTTTAAAAAAAAAAGCTCTGCCAGCATTCAAGCCAAGCTTTCCAGAAGCGGCTTACAACTTAACCTTATGCTTGTGTATTTAAAAATAAACTTTAATGAATTAAATGGAACTTGCCTCCTACCTAAGTGTTTTAGCTTTACAGTGCAACCCTAAGTGTGCCCACTTAGAAGTAAGTCAATGGGACAAACACCTGGTGCAGTGGTAACAGGACCAAAGCTGACTGAAGTCTGTCCAGAGAATAGGTGAAGTAGCAATATCTATATCTAGGTTACACACCAGAAAAAAATAAAATCTTCAGTCAGGTGGCATCACAACTGTTTTTACCTTTATCAATTTTTTTCACAAGACATGACTGTTTTCACATAGAAATATCTAAAAATAAATATATTAAACATAATTACAATGTTTTTTAAAAATGTAACATAAACAGATATTGTGATCATATTTTTCAAACTATATATCTCTTACCTGAATTTGATGAAATATGTAAACCACTCATGTCTTTGGATGAGCCATTTGTTCTTTGACTCGAGATAGGTGCACAGACTGATGTGGCACGAGGTGGCCTCTTCCCTGGAACCTTAACTGTGGTTCTCAGAAGATCAATTTCTTTTCCATGAACATTTTGCATATAGTCCTGCACCAAAAGAACACAAATATTTTTTTCCCCAGAGGAGATGGAAATAATATAAAAAATACAATATGACTGGGATTAAAAGAAACCACATGACTAATTTGATTTGCCTAAGGCTACTAGAGGTTTATGTTTTTTAAAACATATATTTCTTTTAACCTTTAGGGAGCTTCCTAAAGTAGATCAGAATATAAAATTGCAGGGTGGGGGCAGTGTTAAACAGTAATAGCATAAAACTCCCACTGGGAAGCTTTTAGATCCTATACATAAAAAGCAATATATATATTTTGCTGTTGCAGCTGCACACAGACAAAGCAGAAGACAGTGTTCATCCATGGTGTGGAGATAAAATCTGTTCCAATGACAGAATGGCTGGTGTCAATTGAATGGGGGGAGGTGATCCCACATGTGTACTTCAGCTGCTTCTGGTGAATGTGCAGAGTAGTTTTCAGATGACTGCTAAAATTACATCCATTCTAATCTTGTAAAAATCTCATAATAGAGATATGGTAAGCAGGTAATGTGTGTGCTTCCTTGAAGAGACCAATCATGCTGAAGGCAATTAATCAATTTACATTTCAGTGTAACACTTAGGTAAGATTAAATACTGATAGATTTGTGTTTCTGGATGACCAATATTCAACCCATTCTGGAAGTGACTGCACTCAACTTTAGGTCCTAAGAGTTAATGCTTGTAGCTTGAAGATTCTTGTAGAACCATCTTTGAAAGTGTTACAGCCTTGGATTCTGGAGTAGGTCTACCAGATCCAGGCTGCAAACATCTAAATGAGCACTAAATGTCATATTGTGTTTGTCTGTATTTTTGCAACCCAGATTCAGTAGTCCCATTCTGGAGCAGGCCTTCTCAACTGAAGACTCATTTATGAAACACTTTCCCCAGAGAAGTCTGCATGATTAAATTTTATGTACATCTGCTGTAATTACTGTTTTATTGGGTTTTAATTGTATTGGTAGCTGGTATTTTTTTTAAAAAAATATGTTTATATTTTCTAAAAATGTGTGTATGTAAAAATATGTTTAAAAACTGTGTGTATGAAACCTATCTGATGTAAGTGTCCAAAAAAAGATCAAAGAGCTGCATTTCCTTACAGCGAAATCTCAATACTCTCTCATTTCAGATCTTATATCCTGCAGAAATAAGAGTTTATAATATGAAAAAGCTTAACTGCTTCAGAACAGTGATTTACAGTATGATCATATTAGAAACAGATGAAGATGACCCTGTCATCTGGAATGTGCAGTGCTAAAGAGAAGAAGCAAGCCTGATTTTTGATATGCAAATATTACAAAGAGAATTTCCCTAGATATTAGCTGTAAAAAAATTGCCGATAGGAGAAAAGGGGGTTGCTTTAACAAGACACAAGGGTAAATCAAAGCCAAATACTTTTAAACACCACTTAACAAGTCCCCAGAGTCTACTCTACAGTGGGCCACCCCAGAAGTGCTATCTTCGGCCCCTCAACAGCTTGAAAAAGTAGTAACTGCAAATCCATTTACATTTGGTTTTTAAGTTTTCTATGTTTATAATTCAATAGCAATAATAAAGCACCAGAAAAACAAAGATTTTCCCCAAATGTGCCAGTATTACGCATCTGAAGCCACTGTACCCCATGGCTCTTGCACCTTTGCCACTGCTTGTTTTTACGTTCTGCTCCTAATTATGTTGCATCTATTGCCATACACTTAATTAGCTGCATTAATGTGATTTCTTTTCACATAGTCAAGCAATTAAGAGCTATGATTGAGTTTCATTCAATTAGTCTCAACAAACATGCTAATTGATGTCCCAGATGCAAATGAGGTGCAATGAGAGAAACCTGCTAACAACTGAGTGCCATGTCAGAGATCCACTGTGCTCAGCTTGCTGACACAAAAGCATACTTTTCCATTTTATGTGGAGCTATTTTCAAGAGAATAAGGGTGAGGGTATCTATATTCCATTCAGTCTTCAGTACACTAAATCGATTCCTAGGGGAATATTACTACAAGATAGTGAATCCAACCTGGTGTCAATATGGCTTGTAAGCAACACAATGATGGAAAATTCATTTTTTTTCTGTTAAATTGAAATCTACTTTGCTGGCAAATTAATCCATCCATAATTGTGTACCATTACTACTAACTGACAGTTTCAGTTTGGTCACTAACAGGCAATGTGGTACTTTAAGTTAAACTAAAGATACATTATTAAATCTGTCCCTAATATACAGCCATGATATTCATTGCAATTAGTTTCCTTCCTGAGGATATGGTTGACATTTGTGGAAATATCCCAGTGCTGATATGATAACTTGAATACACAATTGCCACCACAAAATCTACATATGTTGAACAGGCTTTTGCGTATAAATGACTGAGAAAGCTGATTAGTGTAGCCAATTCAGAACAGGAAACAACCACACAATCCATGTTATAGTCAAGAAACAATTATAATTGTTTTAGTTCCTTTTGTTGAGTTTCAGCCAATGGATTAATTTTTATAATTTATTCAATTCCATTCAAACTAGATAAAAAGAGAGTATTGTTGAAAGGAGCATGCCTGCTGCATCCTGGGAACTAACCTGAATGAATGCATTTCCCTCATCAACAAATATTCTCTCAGCAGCTTATTGATCAAAACTAGAAATTAGAAATATAAAGCACCCATGAAAAGGAAAAGTAAAGAAAAAATCAGAAGAAAATTGGGGGCAGGGGAGAAAAGGTACCACCCATAAAATATATTCTCTTTTAGGGATGTTTCTAAAATAAAGTTTCTACTCACAAAAAAATATAGTTTGAAAACGTGTAAGGCAATTTACAAGCATTTAAGATGGATAATTCTTGTCTGTGCTGTTGAATTCAGTATAATGCTACTACAGTTTATACTGATATCAAAGACCTTAATACTGTAAATAAGAGTTTTCCTGTTGTTTATGCTCTTGTGTTTTAATACTCAGATGGATAACTAAAGTACAGTACTTAGGCAACATAGGATACAGCAATTTGTAACACATTCTCTATCTTATAATAATAATTTATTAAATTTATATGCTGCCTGACTCCCAGCAACTCTGGGTGCTTTACAATTGTTAAAAACATTTAAGAACAAATGGGGCTTCCAGTGGGGGAATTATGGCAGGCTGATGCTCTCTGAGACACGGAGAGACACCACAGCTGAGAACACCGGCTGGAAGGCAAATTCTGGCTGGTGTGATCTCCCTGCATCAAAGGGAGATTGTGAGATTAACCACGTGTACTCTGGACAGCAGTTCCTCATGGGTAAACTGCAGAAATGGAAAAGATTTTGCCGTCAGCTCATGAGTTGAGCTGCCAGAGTCCTGGGATTCCATCTACGCTCCTAACTGTGGTGGAGCCTATACAGACATTAAGCTCTGCCTCTGCCATTTCTTAATCACTTTGGGAAGTAATTAATTTACAGACAGATTTCCTCTGTGGCAAAGATAAGACTCCTTACAGTGAGTTAAACCTTCTTTCGAGATTACATTAAAAAACACACACACAAGAAAAAGAGACTTAGTTTTAAAGATTCAAGAACTCTTTGCAAAAAGCTTAATTACAAGACGATGTAAGGAAGTTTTAAAATGGACATGGGGACAGTCTTTTTTCCCCTATTTTTCTATTTAGATTTTTATTATTTTTAATTTTGGCAAAAGTGCTTTGGTATAAATTTTCACTAAGCCAGTCAAAAAGACCAGTCCGGCATGGGAATGCTTGTCGTTCATTTTTAAAAAGTGCATTTAATTGGCAGAATCTATATAACAAAAAATAAGATAAAGAACCAGACTGTGACCTTTAGTTGCCATGGAGATGTGATGCCGGTTATAGCTGAAGCTATCGAGAGCTACTAAAAAGAAAGGGGGAAAATAGGAGAGGCTTGTCTTTTTATTTCCCCTGCTTGAGACATCTTCACTTTTGGATTAAAAATGGCTACTAGAAAATGGCAAAAGAGGGCAGGAGGGGTTCACTAAGCTAAGCAGAAAAATTAATTACACAAGATATACTTCAGAATTTTTTTGAACAGATGGGAAATAAATTTGATCAGATGGGGAATAAAATGGATGCTTTTGAAAAGTTGACTTAACTTTCATTTGTAAAGTTAAGAGAGGAAATGAGAGAAGATGTTGAAAAGATGGAAAGTTCTATAAAGTAAATATCTGGAGAGGTAAAACAAATTAACGGTAAAGTGGAAATTTTAGGGAGTAAAGCAGAAGTTTAAGGCAGAGAGTTGAAAAGAGAATTGGATAATTTGGCTTTACCGGAATTGAAAGAGAAAGAATTCTGTTTGAGATTCACAGCTATTGCAGAAGTTCCAGAAGAAAATGTTAGATAGCGGATTATTAATGTTTTGGCAAAGTTTTGGATTTAAAAGAGGAAGATATGGACACAGAAATTGATAAAATTTATAAATAAATTCCAGATTTGCCAGAATGAGGAACATCCCTAGGGATATTTTGGTGCATTTTGTTCGAAAGAAGACAAGGGATCAAGTCCTGCAAGCAGCATTTTAACACAAGATTGAAAATGAATAATACAGATGTAATTGTTTTAAAAGAGATTCCTATTAGAATTTTATGTAAGAGAAAAGAATATGCCCTCTTGGCTGAAAAATTAAAATAGAAAAAGATCCCATTTTGATGGGATAAATTTGAAGGTATGAGTTTTACTTTTAAACAGCAGAGATTTAGACTGAATTCTTTTCAGAAGGTGAGAGATTTTTTAGAAAAACATAAAGCAGAATTGAAGGAAATGGAAATGGAACTTTCAGAGGGAACTACACCAAAATCAACACAGATACAACAGGAATTGGAAAAAGATGATACTGAATTAGGTATGGACTTTTCTACATTTTTGGCCTGAATATGGATTACAAATGTTTAACATGAAATATAAATGGAGCAAATGCTCCACAAAAGAGAAAAACTATTAGTTATTTGAAAAAATTAAAGCAAAACATTATTTGCCTACAAGAGACTCTTATCAGA